TGCTTTTCTTATCCCCATATGACACCCGAGAGAGATGTGGAGGAGTTGAGAGGCTCACCCAAAACCTTAGATCTGGAAATCCAAAAGCCAGGAACCCAAGCTGAGGCAGGTTGACTCCAGGACCCACACTCCTAACTGAACTGCTTTCCAGGGACCTGTTCGTGAATGGGACAGAGCATGACACAGAATTGGATGAACAGCCCAGAATCCACAGTAGCAAAACAGGTTATGGTTTACCGTCACAATTCTGGGAGTTACGTGTGGTATGCTCTGTGCTTGGCAAAGGAACAGATGTTTAATAACTTTGCAGTAGCAAGGAGGAGGTTGCATAATGTGGCTGAGCTATTTTTGAACTTTGGAAAATGCTGACTGCTCTTTTCAAAGTGTCTTCTTTAAACCAGGAATATTAAACATAAAGAAAATTTCCCACTTTCCCTACTTTCTCCCCCTTGAAATCACAAGGGCAGAAACAGGTCTATGGTCATGAACATGCTATCCTCCACACGCTGCCCCTTGTGCCACAGCTAATCCCATGAGCCATAGTGCATTGCCAATACATTCCCTAACTGTAGGAACTCTGAGCATAAGATTACAAGCAATGAACTTGGGGGCACATAGCAACATGTCCAGCTGGCCCTAAGGTGGTCTCAACTGATCAAAGCTAAACCCAGATGCTCTTAACAAGTCATTCTAAGGTCACCAGGTATGAATTCAACTAAAGCTATTTGTGTCTTCCCTTCTACATAGAAGTAATGAAATTTTCTATTTACAAGATGTTTTGGAAAGTAAAACTTTTAAAATATTTTATTTATTTCTATTTTGTGTGTTTGATTGTTTTGCCTGCATGTAAGTACACCACATGGATACAGTGCCCATCGTGGCCAGAAGAGGGAGACAGATTCCCTGGAACTGGAGTTACAGATGGTTGTTAATCACCACGTGGGTACTGGAAACCACACCCAGGTCCTCTTCAAGAACAAGTACTCTTAACCACTAAGCCATCGATCCAGTCAGGCCCAAATTAAGACTTTCTATCCAGCTGAAAATGCAATTTTGTAAAAGTCTGAAATAAGGCATTGCTAACTTAAGAGTCTTGATTTCCCACTAAGGAAGCTCATGAACCCCCACTTAGCCTTATCTGTTCTCAGCATTCAGATGCCCAGATTGACAGTCCTGACCTATAAACAACCTAAATGTCCATCAAAAGAGGATGATTAGATAAAAGATGGAACATTGTGCAAGGCAGAGTACAAAACAGCAGCTGAGACAAATACCCTGGAATTATCTTCACCGTGACCTTGAAAACACAAGGTTGAAATAAAGCAAATTTTAATGCATTAGAAGTCATTGGTAAAAGAACTGTGGATTGGGTATGTGGTTGCCTGAGTCTTTAGTGAAATGCAGGAGCATGTGCACGGATTAGATATGTCTCACACTCACTGGAGAGATGTCACCAGGGTTTCTACATTCTCACTGATGGATTATTGTTTTTAATCCATCTTTTATTTGTTTAAAAGAATGTGACAAGCCATTCTTTTTCTCTTTGGTGAGTTGGGTATATTATCAGATTCTCTATTGCCCACTGTCTTTTTCAATATTAAAAAAAAAAAAAAGGAAACTTCAGTGGACAAGATGACTCAGTGGGTAAAGACACTTGCCACTAAACCTGATGACTTGAGTTCGATCCCTGGAATCAATCGATGTGGAGGAAGGAAAGAACCAACTCTCCAAAAAGTTATCCTCTGACCTCCACACACATGCTAAGCACACATGCACATACATACACGCATACATATATACACACAAATATAAATAAATAATAAATAAGCAAATAAATAAATGTAAAGAATGAATTTTTATATCTTGGGTTTGTCTTGGGATAATTCCTCCAGTTTTCTTTAGACTGCATGGTCCTTGGGGACAAAAGTTATGTTTTAATTTCATTGTGTATTCCAAGAGCCAGCAGGAGAGCTGCTGCATGTAAGGAATGACGGATAGAACCAAGGATGGTGTGCCCTCCATTCCTCTTAACTGCCTTCTTTAGGGTCTCTCCAGCTCTCAAACAAGGTGAGCCCAGAGGGGTTCTATACTTTCCGTCTGCAGTGAGTGTGAGGAGCCCTGAGGAGGGGAAAGCAAGGAGAGATTAATGGAGCCCATGAGCCACTATCCAGCTTCATGCCCTGGGTGAGCACCACCAGCCTGCCATGGACGGGAAGGCATTTCATTCCCAATGAGCAGTGGGTGATAACTTACTGTGCTTGGTGTGCGTCACTTCTCTGGGGCTGAATTGCCACTTACAAAGCTGATGCATTCAAAGGCAAAACTTCTGGAAATAGCACAATAGCATTTCACAGCCCTAGGATTTTTTTTTTTTTTTTCCTGCTTAAAGAATGGAATCTAGGGTGGGCCCTGGAAGGGAATCTGAATGTTTTGCCAATTATCCTTCTCAAATTCCTTTTCCTATATATTACATTTCGATTGCCTTACAACTGAGTTACGTTTCCAACAAAATTATAGATTTCTGAGTCTTCCAGCTGCAGGGCTCATCTCATTAAACAGAGTATGAATTCATTAGCCCAGCCCTTGTCTTTGGGCTGGCAGTAAGCCTGACTTAATAAGAAGTTCCTATGTCTCACATTGAATTATCTGAGTCCCTTCCTGATATTCGGAGAATTATTTAGAATGCTAAAAGTAGCAACATAGAAATAGGATCATTATATGGGGGAGGAGAAAAGATAAAATGTCAAAGGAGCACGATTTCTTAATTCAAAAGTTCAATTTTCTATGATACATGTTAATTGTAAGGAAGTGCATCCTGAGCTGGGGAGATCACTCAGTGGGTAGAAGCTCTTGCTGCAAAATTCTGAGGACCTGTGTTCAAATCCCCAGAACTGACATAAAAGCTGACCTATTGTGTTAACATCTTTAATCTCAGTGTTCTTATAGGGAAAATGAGAGATGGAACCTGGACCATGCCCCAGAACTGTGCCCAGAAGCTTGTGGGCCAGATAGCCTAGCACAGCAGCAGAAAAATAACAGAGACCCTGCCCCAGACAAGGTCGCAGGTGATAATCAACACTGAAGGCTGTCCTCTGGCTCCCACACATACACCACGGCATGTGCATATCCACATTCACACACAGGAATGTACACACACACACACACACACACACACACACACACATACACACACACATGCACACACAGACCACCTCCCCAAACTTATTTCAGAGGTAAACTCTGAAAGGTAGCAGATTCAACGTGTTACACACTTCCAGTAATGTTTCAGAGTGCCGTAGTACTCTGCAAGCAATCACACAACATGGTTTGCCTCTTTTAACTTCTGATGAGGCAAACCTTCACTGATGCTTATTGAATAGCTGCCAGGGGGCAACACTGTGAGAAGCAGCACTTTTCATGTACCTCCTCATTTCATACTCATAAGGATCCCTAGAACTTTGGTTCTCAAAGCATGATCCCCAGGCCAACAACAGCAGCATCACCCAGAAACTTGCAAGTCCTTATGTCTTACCCAGATCTACTTATATAATGGAAACTCTGATTGCAGGACACACATCTGTGTTAACAAGCCCTTCCAGAGATTCAAATGTATGCTAAATTTGAGGACGACTCTAGAAAGTTAAGACTTTTATCATCACTTCGGAATAAGCTCCTGAGACCCAGAAAGGTAAAGTGATTGTCCAAGACCTGTGGAAAGTGAGTAAGACAGGATTTGAACTGGGACCAATATCACTCTTCCCCAACCTAGTCCTTAATCACAGTGCCACAGTGCTCATTATCTGAGCAATGAAACTTGGATTAAATCAGCAAACATGAGGCAAAAACATTTAGAATGGGTGTCTGAGTGATCATTCCAAATCTTAGCAGCTTAGCCATAATGATGGACTGCAAAGAATAACGACATTTTCCAGAAGTGTAAAATTTAACTTAAATATCCACCATGTGGGAAGCAGTTAAATAAATAAATTATGATATATTCATATAACAAGATAGCGTGGCATTAAGAATGATGTTTACCAAGATTTCCAATGACCTACAAAAACACTTGGAATATCAAAGGAGGAGAAATTCAGACACAGTTAGGGGACAGGAGCATCAGTGTGGGTAGTTTTCCCAAAGCATGCTGTGGTGCTGAACGTGTGGGAAAGATCGCAAACTCTCAGTAGGAATGTGTATCAGTACAGTTATTTTGTAGAAGAATTTGGCAATTTGCAATTAAAGATGCATGTATCTTATGACTTCCAATCTTACTTCTTATCAACTTTAGAAAAAACATTTGCATACAGGCATAAAAAGACAGGTCTGATGGTTATCACTGTAGTTTAGCTTCTAATAGAAAAAATCTGGAAAAAAAACCTCACCTGAATTCCTATCAATGTGGATAAATAAACAATTCATGGCATAAGTGTATTGAAGAACATGACTTGCATGTTGTGAAGAACTTACTTGGGCTTTAGATAGATGATGGATGGATAGATAGATAGATAATAGATGATAGCTATACGATAGATAGGTAGATACATAGATGATTGATATGAGAGCATACATGCCCAAGTGAAGCTTTCCGTGCTATGCTATTGAGTAAAGAAAAAAAGCAAGTTGCAGAAAATAAAATGTGCTGTTACTAAGCAGGCATCATGGCAGTTAGTTGTAACATGGCGTGGTAGTTGTAAGCCCAACACTCAGGAGCCTGTAGGAGGACTGTGAGACAAAGACTAGCTACATAGCAAGTTCCAAGCTAGCCATGGCTGTATAATGAAACTCTTATCTAAAAAAATGTTGCTTATCATTTAAAGAATGAGTTGAGAAGAGAGGAAAAGAGAAAGGAGCACAAAATCAAATCAAGTAAAACCCCTTCAAACAAACATACAGCATTCTCTATTTGAAGCCTGTTCTTTTCTTAGTGACTGTGTAAACAAACACTCATAGCAGCAAAACTCTGGCCCATCTCTGGGAGAAAGCAAAGAGCCCTTTCTTACTGGTGCAGAGTGTGAAGTGGGGCCTCTGACTTCTCTGTCTGCCCATAGCAGCTGGCCTTGGCCTCGGGGATGTAGGAGAACTTCTCCAACATGGAAGATGCAGCAGTGGTTAGGATCCCAAGACCATCCCTCACTCTTGCCTCCAGGCTATAGTCCCAGTCATCATAGGAGACTGAAATGAGTCCTGATGGAAACTCTTTGGGGATGAGCTCTGTGTTCCCAGACACCAAACTGGGGATGATCCAGAAGAAGTCATATCCAGTGAGGCCAAGGGAGCGAGCCTCACTCAGAATGAGGACAGCCTCATCTTTGGAACAGTAGAGCAAGATGACAGAAGAGTGGATCTTCTTCAGCTGGACCTGTGTCTTTGCATCCTCAAAGGAGGTGTCCAGTGTGATCACATTCTGCATATCCCAGCCCACAAAGCTGTTGTCCACTGTTGTCTTGATGAAACTGATGAAGTCTCTGTAGCCAGGGAAGATGGTGGTCACCAGGGAGAAGACATGCCAGTCGTAATCCTGCATGATCTTCAGCATAACCGTGGCTTGTTGCTGGATAGATGCTCCAAACTGGAAGAAGGTAGATGTGGGATCCTGCAAGACAAGAAGAAAACAAAGCAGAGGGTGAGCCAGAAGCAGTTGATACGCATGGACCTGCCTTTATAGGTGTAAAGACACTCCTTCCTAGAAGTAAGATGATAGCCACTCATTCAGAAACATTTCTGAGGGACTGTGGAGATAGATCAGTTGGTAAAGTGCTTGCCTTCTGATTTTGAGAACCTGAGTTTGATTCTCAGAGTTAGAAACAGGCAAATTCCTGGGGCTTGCTGGCCAGCAGCCTAGCATACTTGGCAAGCTACAAGCCAGTGAGAGATCCTGTCTCAAAAAACAAGGTGGATGGTTGTTGAGGAATGACACCTAAAACTGTCCTCTGGCTTTCACATGCACGTACATACACATTTTCACCAGCACACATGAATATGCACATGAACACACATACATGAATACATATATACCAAAAAAATTAAAATAAATGTTCTGAGCTATACCAGGCTCAGAAAAGGATACTGAAAATTCAGACTTGAGAAAATTCATGCTCAAAAGTCCATAGCCAATATAAGAAAGAATACTTGTTTATCTTGTTTGCCCACCATCTACTCTAATTTTCCTCTAGATTCCCCTTTTGTTCATACACTTTCAATAGAACCAACTCTGTCTGGTCCTCAGAATAACGATATAAAAACAAAACCAACAGAAACAAAGCAGCATCAGAAGCCCTGAACTTTAGCAGGTCTACAGCCATTTACCCTGGACCTCTGACTACATGAGTCACTGAATTCCCGTGTTCATATAAGCCAGTGGAACCAGGGTTTCTGTATCTTAAACTTACAGTACAGATGATGTTCAAAGCTATGTGAACATCCACATGTTCAATCAACAAGCATTTGTTGAACACTTTGCTGTGTGCCTTGGGAAATCACCACATATGAATCAGACATGGCACAGCCTCTGCTGTCACACGTGAGGGAAACAAGGAAGACCAGTCATGAACTGGGGACTGAGAAAGATCTGCGGAAATGTAGCCTTCAGGTGAGACAGACAGGAAATATGTGGGCATGTCCTGAAATGTGTTCTTGAGTACTGGAGATAAAGCCATTCTGACTTATGAAGTAGAAAGGATTACATTACGTTGAAAAGCTTGTGAGGAGCCCCATCATGTGGGGTCTTATCTGATAATAACACAGTAACTTGTGTTGGGCTAAGGGGCTCCTATCATTCCAGCGTTTCCACAGGTCTATCATCATGAGATCAAAGTTCTACTTATCCAAGCGGGTGACAATAGGATTGTCCAATTTGTAGACCTGCTCCATATCCCTTGACTCATTAAATTCCCACAAATGATCCTAAGAAGTTGGTATTATTGGCAGACAGACCAAAGCTCAAGATGGTCACAGAGAAATGAGCATTTAAGCCTAGGTCCTGAGACATAGCTTCCACATGCAGCCTCCTTTCCCACCTGCAGCAACAGTCCTCTTGGGAACATTTAAGATCAACACATAGCAGATGTATAAATTATTGTAGTCAGTGTGCTGCAAAATACCCACTCAGGGACCTGGGGAGGTAGATCAGTTTGTAAAGTATTTGTCTTGCAAGCATGGGGACCTGAGTTCAACCTTCTGAACCCATGTAGAAAAAGCTGGATGTCACGGTATGCACCTGTAGATCCCGTGCTGGGGAGATAGAGACAGGAGGATCCCTGGGGCTCACTCACTAACCCACTCAAAAACAAAGGCAAATGGTGCCTGGGGAAGAATTCTGAAGCTATTCTCTGACCTCCACATGCATGTGCATGCACACTTGCACACACATGTACCCAACCAATAAGCACAAAAAATGACAACTCATCAGAAGATATATATCTGTATTAACACAAAACAGGATCTGTCCAATGCTGAAGTATATGTATTTTTTTTCCAGGAAATGAAAGAATTGCCAAAGGGACTTATCATATTACAACCACATGTTCGTTTTGTACTTAACTTATTCTAAGCATTTAATACCACTTCAATTCAGCAGTGTAACTAACGGGGATCCTGTTTCCTATATGTGGTATGTATGTTCGCATATCTGTGGGTGAGTGTGTGAGTGTGTGTGATTCCATTCATATCTTTCAGAACAACACTTTGTATCTATGCTTGTCTATTCTTTCAACAAGTCTGTCTTGTTTCCCTATGGGTCCTCACTGTAGGTTTTCCCTGAATGGGTCAAAGAGCTGTCGTTCTTAGAAACACTGCTCTCTTCTGAAAGGCTTGAGTTTGGTGGATTATTTGAATATAGCATGGCCTGGAAGCAGACAGGAGAAATGGGAATAAATAAATGGTTTCTGGACTCCTTCCAACATTACAGTTCTGTGAATTTTACCTAATTAAATCAATTAAAATGGGTAACAGACTTAAAGACTTGGGGAAATGATCTTTTTCCCTACTGTCACATTTGGAGAAATCCAATATTCCTGAATTGATGAATCATTTTTCAGTCATATATCAACAAGACTGTGAGCTCCTCAAGGGCAGAGTCGCTGTTGTCCTCATCACTCTGTCCCCGGAGCCTGGCAGGAGGCTTGGTCCATGACACATCAGGAAGTGGAGGACAAAGAGTTGCAAGAGCAGATGAGTGTGGGAATGAAGCCTTGGAAAAATGTCCTTGGGGTAAACAGAATGTTCAGAGAGGAGAATTTGGTATCTGAGATTGTGTTCTGTATAGATCTTGAATGTTATGTTCAAAACAAAACAAGACCTTTAACATCACCACCTACACTTACCTACCCTGAGAACCACGCCCTTGTCAAAAGCCCAAAATATGTACATATTTGTGTGTGTATGTATTGTGTGTGCACGATCATGTGTATGCAAGTGTACTTGTGTATATGAGTGCACTTATGTGCAGATGCACATGAAGGCCAGAGGACAACCTTGGGTGTCATTCCTTAGGTGTGTCTACCTTTTATTTTTTAACATTTATTTATTTGTGTGGGTGGGTAGGTGCATGCATGCCACTGCGTATATGTGGAGGCCAGAGGACAATTTTAGGCAGCCAATTTTCTCCTTTGACTGTGTAGAATCAAGCTCAGGTTATCAGGCTTGGTGGAAAGAACCTCTACTCCTACAGCAATTTCACTAACCCCCTTCTTTTACTTTTTGTGAGACAGGGCTCTCATTGATCTAGGGCCTGCCAAGTAGGCCACCTGTGTCTGCCTCACCAGTGCTAGGTTTACAATTGGGTACAACCATGTCCAGCTTTTCTTTTTTAAAACAAGTTCTATGAGATTGAACTCAGGTCTTCATGCTTGTAAGGCAAGCACTTTATTGACTGAGATAATACTCTAGTCCACCAAAAATATATTTTAGTGTGTACTTTATTGATAAGGAGGGAGACCGTAGAAAGCTTACATGGCTGCCCATAGAGGTTCATTAAGCGAAGAAAAAAAAGACAGCAACATGCAGAATCTAGTAGCATTAAGATGGCCCACACATCTAAAGGCAGCTCAGTTGTTAGCTCCACACACTGCCTCTTGAGATGGGACCTAAATGTTGCAAACCTAATTATCAAAGAAATGCATTAATTCCATTGAGCAGAGTCTCAGGATGCTGATCCTCCAGAGCTATGATGTGACTACAAAGGGCTCAGCGTCTTCCTGCACTGAGTACACAGGAAATGGAGAAATTGCTTAATCAATGCACAGTGAGGGCATAGTTGGAACCAGTAAAAAGAATCTGACAGTTTCGGGCCCAGCCCTAAACAAGTTGTATTTATCACCTCTTCTAAGGCTTAGGGAACATTGCTGAAGAGGGGGAGGAAGCATGTAAGAGACAGAAAATAGGTGAAGGGCTACAAAATGCCATTCTGTAGACTCAATACAGCCTTTGCAATCATTAATTCACAACAACTATAGTTACCTGGGCTGGGACCACACAAGACTGGGCCCTATCAACAATCAAAGAAGGGAGAAGAACTCATGGGCCCTACCTTTTATCTCTGAACTATTGACTATTGATAGATTCTGGGAGAAAGGGAATCACTATCTTTAGTTGTGTACCCACTGCTGAAGTCAGCAGGCTCTAAACCCATGCTTACACAGATGACCCTAGTTAATCTCAGTGGGCCACAAAATGGAATGATAGTCATGAAAATGAGAAAGATATTTGTAGGAAGGGGGAGAGTAGATGGATATGGTAGTGAGGTGCAGGACATTAGAGTGGTCAGTATGCATGGCATATGTGTGCAAAATTGTTAAAAAAAACACTTAAAAAATTAAAAAATAAAAATGCCTTTGAGACAACCCATAAATGCACCGTTCTTGGAATCATAAGTATGGGTGGAGAAGTGGAAGTCAGCATTCTAGATGAGGCTGGAATTTGGGATCCTGCTGGTCCCTTACTTCATGTACCATGAGCTATGTCACCACCACAGTGTTCATTAGATGCTCCGTGAACACATAAGAGCTGCAAACAGAAGCAGTCTTGCTGATCACTCCCCATATAGAGGAGGGTGTGACTGCACTGTGAATTTCATGAAGGAGAAAGATCAATAGAGACAGCAGTTCACCAGTCCAGAACCAGCTTGACACAGGCCATCTGTGAAAGAGTATTTACAAAGCCCTGGCCTAGTGCCATCCCTCCTCTCCTGATTTGAGACACTTCAGCACAAGCTCCACTGTTGCTTGGATCTTAAAAGTACCCTCCTCAAAAGCTCATGTGTTGAAAGCTTGTACTCCAACACAGCAGTGGTCAGAGACCAGACCTTCAGGAAGTGATTGGGTTATCAGAGTTCTGATATCATGAATGGATTCATCCATTAAGGATTCATAACTTATTGAGATGTTTGAAAGAGCTGGAAACTGGAGGAGGAGCCTATTTGGAGGAAGTAGGCCACCACGAACATGCCCTTGAACAGTATATTTTGTCCTTAGTACCTGTCTCTCTTTTTTCTTCCTGTCTGCCATGAGGGGAGCAGCTCTGTCCCATCTCATGTTCCCTACCATGATTTATTTTCTGCTTCAACTCAGGTCCAGAAGAAACAACAGAGGCAAGTCG